GAGAGAGAGAGAGAGAGAGAGGGAGAGGGAGAGAGAGAGAGACAGAGAGAGAGCGAGAAAGAGAGCGAAAGAGAGAAAAAATCTCGCCCTTGTATCATCGCCAACTCAACTCAGGTGTGTAATAACGGCGTTTAACGGGTAGCTAGAGCTTAGGAAGGCTAGAGCTAGACGTTTATTTACGCATGTGTACTATTGTATCCTCATGGAAATAATATCCATTGAAGGCTGGAGGTGGGTGTACGCGCTGTGACGCTAGACATGCCATCAACCGCCGCTAACCGCCTTAATCCATTAAATGCCCCTATTACACACATGAGTTGGCGATGACACAAGGGCGAAAATATCTTTTTCTTTCTAGATCTCATAGCTCTCTCTCTCTCTCTCTTCTCGTCTCCTTCTCTTTCTCTCTCCTCTCGTACTCCTTCTCTTTGCTCTCTCTCATCTCTCGGTCTCGTCTCTCTCTCATCTCTTCTCATATCGCGCGCACACGCTCGCCTGCTCTCTCCGTCGCTCTCTCTCTCTGCTCTCTATGCAGCGCGCGCTCGCTCTCTCTCGCGCTCGCGGTAATCAGGCGGTTCAGGAAACTTGGGAGATCGACCTGTGTGATTCGATGAGGTGATGAGATAGCTGTGCAGAGATATACCCGAGGCTCAATATTGATGTGTGTGCTGTGTGTGTGTGTCGCGTCCCAGTTGTGTGTGTGTGTGTGCGTGTGTCGTGTCCGTTGTTTTGTGTACGTGGGAGTACGTATGTGTGTGTGTGTGTGCCGCGTGCGTAAGTGCGTGCGTGGGTGCGTGTGTGTGCGTCTGTGTGCGTGCGCCTGTGCGTGTCCGTGTGTATGCGCGCGCGGGTGTGTGTGCGTGTACGTGTGCGCGTGCGTGGGTGCGTGCGTGGGTTTGTGTGTTGCGCACTGCGTCGATGATTCTGCATGCGGTTTCGAATCGCTGAGCCTTACAATGCGATGATGTCAAATTATCTCCGTCACATAGGCGTCGGAGCTCCGTAACTAGAACAGTGGGCCGCTAAGCAGCAGGAGCGCTGCGCGCCCACGTACACGTGCTGCTCACACGGCTGCACGCCTGCTCAGTGCAGGTGTAGCACGCACGCACGCACGCACGCACGCACGCACACGCGCTCCCTCATCCGCCGTGCAGATCTCCTGCCATGCCATGCCAATGTGGCCAATGTGGGCCAAGCCAGATTGCTACCAACATGACCAAGGGCGTGTCCGCGCGCTATGCAAATATAAGCCTAACCTTGAAAAAAAAATAGCACAGAGAAAAGATTCGATTCAAGCGGAACTCGTCGCGATGCGCACTCGGGAAGGAATCTCCGCAGAGGTGGCGAGACAATAGGTGCGTTCACGCGGACGTTTTTAGCTCGAGCCTAATTAGGCCCACGCCAAATTTGGCTCGAGCCGAGCGTTTACACGGACGGTTTTTCGGGGCCGTGCCAAGTTAGCACGAGCCAATTTGGTTCCATCGAAAACGTCTGACCAGGCCCGAGCCAAATTTTAGCACCAGCTAAATCGGTAGAACGGTAGATGCCGCGAGTGTCGAACGTGTACTTCGACGAAATAAAGTCCAAAACAGTATAAAAATTTGAAAAATTTGATTAGAAGGCATGTCTTCAAGAATGATAATTAAACTCGGAACGGAAGTAAACACTGAATCGTACACAACGCTATCTTGCGACATGCTGCCAAAGTATCTGTGAGATATTTGTGCAATAAAATTTATTTGAATTTGATTTGAATTTGAATTTGACAGACAGTAGGCCTATTCACTTGCGTACGTGTGAACGCTCCGACTCAAACTAGCCCGAGCCAAATATAGCCTGAGCCAAATTTAGCCCATTTAGCTCGAGCCAAACCTTTACCGTGTGAACGCGGTAAACGTCTCCCTTTTACGGCCAAAACAACATACGCGTGTATGTAAGCGACGTGCGTGGCAGGCCAGCGTTGTGCAGGGATAGGCACCACGACTTGAGGTCCCTGCGTGCGAGCGTGCATGACACAGACATCTACCCATTCCGACACGCTATGTCGCTTCATGAGGGAAGGACGGTAGAAGGAGGAGGACAAGGAAGAAGAGAAAAAAGTTAAAAGAAAAGACGACGACGCGACGCTGAAGACGCAGAAGAAGAAGAAAAAGAAGACGAAGAAAAAGAAGAAAAAGAAGAAGATGATGAAGAGGTGAAGAAGAAAAAGAAGAATAGAAGAAGAAGAAGAAGAAGAAGAAAAAGAAAAAGAAAAAAAAAGAAGAAGAAAAAAAAGAAGAAGAAGAAGAAGAAAAAGAAGAAGAAGAAAGAAGAAGTGGTTGTTTATTAATTTAGACTTATATCTGGACGTGATGCGGCCATGATGCCGAGGATTGACACTTTGTGTCTTCCAATCACAGCGTACACCGCACCCGTCGTTGATATTTTTAAATATGGGGACCCATTCGACCACCAAATCGCCGATCTCAGGAACTAGGGCATTCTGCTATGTTAGAACGGTTTCCTACGATAGAGTTTGGCACAAATACGAAATTAACACGCTGTTTAGCGCACTGCGCTACGTCATTCTGTACCATCTGCGTAATCAGAATAAGCCCTGCCTTCTTCGTTGATGGACATGAATGGGACGTCAACGACGTGACCCGTTACTGTACTTACTGTCTTTCGCCAGCCTGTTTACTTTTCGTAAATAATGAAATGCCCGGCCGATGCATTTCGCATCGAAGTGCGTCATTCATTGAACATTGAAGTTTTTCTTCAAATTAAATAATTCCAAAAATCCTTAACTGCGCTACTCGATTGTTTTAGCCAATGAACGTAGCTGTGTGTGTGACGTCTTGCCCGCGCGCTTTATGCTTGGCTTAGCGGGCTTCGAAATGGATATCGGAGGCAGGCACCTCGCAACACGCGTGTTTGTTTACATATAGCTTTGTGACATGAGTATGGGTGGTGTTGGGGAATTCTGCGATGATATCCTCGTAATTTCTCAGAATTTCTCAAGGTGCATGAGACATTTTTCAATTTAGTGGTGTCAGTTAGTCACCGATATGTCACAGTAGGCCTAAGTACTAACCGTATTATGTTTCACATACGTTCGCCTATTTTGCCCACAGGCGGTCAATCATTGTAAAAAATTGTGTGAAGATTACATTTTATTGAGACGTTCCAAGTGCCTGTGCTTTCAACGGTCAATGCACGTGCGTCAAGAGCCACAAACTCAACCCAATTTCGTCTCTGTTATTGTTTACGCCTGAATGCGTGATTGATCAGGGAGAGGGTGCATGTAAGAGGGAGACATTTTCTTTGGGGTTCCGAAATACACAATTCCACTTGACAATTTTATGGGCCATTTTAATTGGAAGCTCTGCATAATGGACCCCCAACAAGCCCTTTGACTGACTAGTCAAAAAATTCAAAGGTGTATATATTGCTCTTATTTACTATTTAGCCGCCGATAGTTTTTATTTAGAACAAAGTCTTCATTGTTATCTTCTAAAACTACAGACCATCCGCTGACCGCTGTGGAGACGTGCGCCGGGCCTCGAATTTGGCGCACGTCTCCACTGCGGACAGCGCTTCATACTTGAACATCCCCGCGGTCGCGTGCTCATATCCCGCGGAACTGCGCGTCTAATCCGCGCGCAGCGCTCAGGATCAACAGCAAAGCTGTGCCACGCAATCTTGTATCATGTCTCTTTGGTTTTAATACAGTTTAAAACTGATTTTAGACACTTGAATTGATTGATTTATAGAATGAATTAAAATGTACATAGATTCTATATGTGGTTAAGAATAATAATAATTAAAGAAAAACAGCAAATAACTATTAATTAATAATAACACTTTTCACCGCCAGGTAGCGCCCTTACTTTAATTTTGGCTGATTTTGGTTCTTTTTTGGTTGCCACCCATTTCCTGTTTGTAAACTAATAGTCTGTAAACTAATAGTTTGTAAACTATCGGCAATAGTTTGACAACTAAAAATTGTCTGTAAACTAATTGTAAACTAATAGTCATAGACTGTAGCATAGTAGTTTGTCATTTTGATAAATAATTGGACGTATATCTAGCAATATGATGTGCGGAGGAATAGGAACGGAATCAGAAGCCAACGAAGAGGTTCAATCCGTTGTTGATCAGGTAATTATTTCATTGCAGTTGGTGACTCGCATACACTGCATCACGGGCACTTGACTTGGAACGTCTCAATAAAAAAAAATGTAAACACGAAATGTATTTACTACCAAAGTCTTAATGTTTCTCTACTCTATTTCGCCTATTATTGCCGATAACTTGCTGTAAATTCCGTTCAAATGGTCATCTGCAACACACAAGTACACCGCACGCCCGCCCTTAGATACAATAATGTAACCCAAACCCAGGAGGATAGGGTTACAAAGCGTCCGTATGGTTTTGTGCGGAGGAACGCCTGAGTGAATCACTCAGGGCGGTTTGCTGGTGCGTTTTCAGAGACTAGAACTTCCAAACTGGGTTTATTCTAAACACGAACCTTTCTCTGCTATCCGAGAACTTACTATGTATCGCAATACTCTGTATTAAACTAATATAACCTGTTACAAAAATTCGAAGGGACGAGCAGCGGATATTTCGAGCGCCATTTCTGTCGACCTGTGACGTACGCATTCCCAATGCGCATAGCGATCGGCAAACGCAGCGCCCTCCGATTGGTCGGTGAATCCGCTCTTCAAACCAAAGTACGTCACAGGTCAACAGAAATGGCGTTCAGTATATTCGCCGCTCGTCACTTCGAATTTTTGTAACAGGTTATATTAGTTTAATACAGAGTATTGCGATACATAGTAAGTTCCCGGATAGCGGAGAAAGGTTCGTGTTTAGAATAAACCCAGTTTGGAAGTTCTAGTCTCTGAAAACGCACCAGCAAACCGCCCTGAGTGATTCACTCGGGCGTTCTTCCGCACAAAACCATACGGACGCTTTGTAACCCTATCCTCCTGGGTTTGGGTTACATTATTGTATCTAGCCTGCCCTGTGCACAAACAGGTCAACATGAATAAGAAAGCAGGTAGGAAAGCCTGATCGCTAAATTCGCTCAACGCTCGCTTCATTTCACACTTTCACAGCACGAGTACACTTTCCTACGGGCCATAGCCGCATGTATATTACCTATGAGCATGACAGTTAGTACACTACCGTTCGGCTATTTCCGGAAAAATGTGTATTTCTCCCCGGTGCAATATTCCATACTGTATCGTGTATGATAATGATGATATTATACATGATACAGTGTATCAATTTATCATATCGACCTATCATGATTATGGTTGTTGTCGATGTATCATATCGTGTTACAGCTCAGTGTAGCTTGAGGTTGTGTTACTGTTTTTGGTATTGGCATGTATCATGGAAACCTGTGTACACTATCTCACTCGTACGTGATTCGTTTTATAGGTAAAATCGGCTGCCGAGACTAAAACTGGCAAGCAGTTTGCTGTTTTCACAGCCAAGAAGTATACCACACAAGTAGTAGCTGGCATGAACTACTTCGTCAAGGTACGGTATTCGCCTATAAAGTACAATTATATTTATAACCTTTTTATTAATTCCATATTGTCCAAAGAACTGCAACATAGTAGGAGTGAGTCCAGTAGTAAGGGAACACTATAGCTGGTGTGGAATTCATTACAGAACAGCAGTAGAATGTGTTCGTTACACAACAGTTTTGTAATCAGTTCTGTGCAGAACATCACTGTGATTAGCTATGCAAGGAACAGCAGTTTAGCGAGTTCTAGACAGAACCCCATCAGAGTTCATCACGGAATAGAATTGTAACGAGTTATAAAGAATAGCAGTGGGCGCTGTTGTGAGTAGGCATATGTTCCATGCAAAATAGCACTGTCAGTCTGTCACTCTGTGAAACAACCCAGGGCGGTCCAGTTAGTGGGCCTAATGTGGCTGTATGAGAACAAAGTTGTGCATACGATGCTATAAACTGACCAGTCATGCTGTTTGCACTGCGAAGTTTTTTTTACATGTGTCTGTTTGCAGTAGTGATTCATAGATGCAATAATAGTGAAATATGAGCTTATTGTTGGCAGGTGCATGTAGGAGATGACAGCTACGTACATGTGAGGGTGTACATGCCGTTACCTGGCCAGGGGGAGCTTCAGCTGCACAGTGTACAGGAGGGCAAGCAACACACAGACCCAATCACTTATTTCTGAGTAACATGGATCGTGTATTCAGCCAGCTAATGTAAATTAAAATCCCATGATTTTTAAACAGTGTGATCAGATTAACAGAGACATAGTGACATTATTTGATACATGGAATCATTTTTGGTCGGTGTTTAACAATAAACGTGGTGATCTTGAACGTATATATATAATGCGCAATTGAAAAATGGGAATTTTTTGAACCACTAGAGTTGCTGTGAATTTTTTATTTAATGAATCCTGTTGCAGTTTAAGAATTTATTCATGGTGCCACCACCTAAAATGCCAAAAAGCACTACTATGCATTCACGATGTTGATTTAATTGTTGCGCCTTCCTAGTAGCTGTAGGTCTCATTCTTCATATCTTTTGTTGTTGAAGATATGCTTATAATGAAATTGTATGTAACCTGCTAAGAATGGTTATTTCTTATACATCATGGTCATTTCAAATTACGGATACATTATAGTGTTAGACTGCACATACTTTTCTCTTAGCTTTATAGGGTTGCCTAGCTCGGAATATGTATATGGCATAGGCATGTCTGTGATATAAACAAGATAAAGTTCTCTTGAATTTTATGATATAATAGGGACAATAATTGGGCTATGACCAAGTGAAAATAATTAAATATTTAAAGTATACATCTACATATTATCATATTATATCTACTTCCACAATATACAGAATCTTATTTTGTTATAGATTGCTGCTATTTTTTTAATGTGAAACTTGTAAAAAAAAGTAATTAACAAAGTAATTCTGGTTGCAGGTGTTAGTTGTTTATTTTTTGGTCAATTCTTACAATTTCAGGTAAAACTGCACACAAATCAGGTATCAAACTTATAAGATACATTACTTATTGATCGAAAACATTTGTAAAATGTTCAATAGCTTTGCATTTCGACTGTTTGTGTCATGATGGTGCTCCAACACATTGGAGGAGTTGCTAACAGATTAAATCATACATCGATCATAGAACATAGCATTGTTGCCACATTATAAAAGCTGCCTGAACATCAATCACAAAACTCACTTTACATCAGAAAAAAATATGAAGACAAAAACAATAATATTTGCACATAATCGCAACTAAAATCATTGTTATCGAGATTTACTGACTCTCTTTTTTACAATGACGCAGACCTCGCATGATTCTATCTACATCCAATCCATATGAAATGATACGTGTGCAATTTACATGAGTAATAGGAGCCACATAGGGTACTTTATGTTTAATAAAAAGATTTGTAAAAAAAAGTAAGACATTCTATTCACCCTTCTCTACACGGCGACAATTTTTACTTGCATCTTGCCAAAACCTGTTAAATGTAAAATCAGAAGAGCAAATCAATTGGATCGAAACCCTTCATGACACAACAGAACAGCTCGTAGCAGAATGTTCATGACCATAACAACAACAACGACAGCAACATCGACGATTATTGGCTACTGAGTTCTGACAGGCGGATTACTATATATGATTCTAGCGGTGACTTTTCTATTCACGTGACACTAGGAGACAAAATGTTTACGTCAGAATATCGTGACTCGAGCACCAACAGGAAACACTGGCGGAGTAAGTGCTCGATCGCTATGCAGGCGTTGCAAATCCCTACCTGCACTGAAATGACCCTAATGTTTTTTTACGGCCAGTAGATTGCAGAGTCCCTCTGTATGTAAAGAGACTCGGGTACGTTATAGAGCACCTACATAAAGATGTATGTATTTATGTAGGTACTCTAGTACGTTATAGTTCAATGCGCCATCTAGCAGCAAAGAAGTGAACCAGTCTGAAATGAAAAGGCAGGCGCTAGCAAGGCATACGGGTGTGAATTGTTCTAGTTCGAATCGTCGTCCACCTATCATCGTTCCCTTGGAACGACTAGCCTGGCAGTGTTTGTAACTTCACGACATCACCCTGAGTGGAGGAAATAATGCTATAAATGCAACATTAAAATGAACTTACAGCTAGACAAGGTAAAATAACACGTTGGCACGGTCCTATTAACATATTGTTCGTTGCGACATACGCAGCAGAGACTTTTCGCGCATGCAAAAACTTTCATCAGTGTACAACATATCCTAGAGACGCGTTGCATATTTCCCACATATACACATCCTAGAACCTAGGCAATAATCTAAACATTATAAATCCAGAGGCAACGGCAATATCCGGCACACACTACAAATAAAATTAACATATATATATATACCAAATTATCGATATCATCGTGAATGCATTTGGTACAAGTACAAGAAATTCATTTCCGCTTCCAATACTCAAATTAAAATATCAGATGAAGACAATATCACTATTCTTTTTGCATTGTCATTAAAATTAATTAAATTGTGTTAATTAAGTTAATTCCTCTTCTCAAAAACACAGACTTGGGTGACTTCATGGAGGTTTTGATATTGTAAACTTGAGTCTCGGTGGGAATTCTGCTATTAAGAATATACATACTAAACACGCAGTGTGGGAATTACTATTGTGGAATACCTGATTGGGGGCACACATGGCTGTTGGGTGTTAGCGTTATACCCTTCACTGTATACGAGGGTCTTTCTCTCACCTTATACTGGTTTTAATACAGAGTTGTCTTATCGCTTCTAAGCTTCCCTCATACACGTGTGTGTGGCTTTTTCCCACCCCTTTACTTTCGACTTGGGGAGGTGTTGGCGTTATAACTTATTATCACCTCCTTCTGTACGTGAACGGAGAGATTTAGGAGGAACGCGCTACATGGCTCTCTACGTGGCTACGTGGCTACGTGGCTACGTGGCTACATGCGGCGGTATTTGTTAGACGGCGCCGGACTTGGGGCAGTCCAACTGTACGTAGTGAAGCATCGCCATGTCCTTCCAGTCTCTCCGCATGTTGTTCAGCACCAGATGTTTCATGCAGCCGACAAACTTCTTCGTGGTGAGGGCAGCACCTTGCTGATACGCCGTATCTGCAAGACGAAAGACAGTCGCCGCCGACAAATGAAAAATCCGGAACACTAGAGACGCGACTCGGTCTAGCGGATATAATATAAGATGATGGGAGCGAGTTGGCGGTGTTAACGAAGAGGGCGGCCGGTAAGCCTTAACGGTAAGCCGCTTACGTTGTGTAACACACGACCTGTGGAACACCTGCATGCTTTAGTTATAGGCAGACTACAAAAGAACGTGGCTCCTACACATCACAGGGCGTGTACATGCCTGACATATATACATGCAGGAACGCACGCACATATGAATACACGCGCACGCACGAATAAATACACGCGCGTGCACGTATGAATACACGCGCACGCACGTATGAATACACGCGCACGCACGTATGAATACACGCGCACGCACGTATGAATACACGCGCACGCACGTATGAATACACACGCACGCACGAATAAATACACACACACACACACACACACACACGCACGTATGAATACACGCGCACACACACACGTATGAATACACACGCACACCCACACGTATGAATACACGCACACACACGCAAGTATGAATACACGCGCACACATGCACGTATGAATACACACACACACACACACACACACACACACACACACGTATGAATACACGCGCACACACACACGCATGCGGAATGAATACACGCACACACATGCACGTATGAATACACACGCGCACACACACGTATGAATACACGCGCACGCACGCACACACACACACACACACACACACGTATGAATACACGCGCACGCACGCACGTATGAATACACGCACACACACACGCATTAAAACATGTTCACACACACACACGTATGAATACACGCGCACGCACGTATGAATACACACGCGCACACACACGCACACACACACACACACGCGTAAGAATACACGCACACACCACAGGCGCCACATCAGCAGCAATGACGACACACGCGCGACACACACACGCCACATTCCCTACACACACCCCACACACACACTCGATTCTCCCCACTAGCGGCGCGCACAACAGACACAACACGAGCGCGTAAAGAATACCACAGTCTTCACCCACACTACCAGTCCGCACACAAGCACGCACACAACACATTGTACCAACCAGGTGCACACACATGGTCTTGAAACTCGGGCGGGGTGCCCGCTCCCACAGCGTCCGGGTTGCGCGCCGGGGGACTCGCTTGCGGGCGTGGCGGCGTAAGAATAGCGACGCACCGACACAACAACACGGGGCACACCACACAACGACACACCAGCACACGCACGACATCCATCACAGCAACAGTCACACACACGACGCATAAAATTACACACACACACACACACAAACATCACACACACACACGCGTAAGAATACAGCACAACATACGACACCGACCACGCATGAAAACACGCTCACACACACGCCCGGCTAAAATCGCTGCCGATCATCTGTGGCGCCCCCTAGACTCGGAATCTCCGAATTAGAACGCGCTGTGTCCGTGCGCAGTGTTCCCTGGCGGTTGTATCTGCCCCTGCGTGGCGCGCGTCCGTGAGGCGGATGGTGAGACGCTGTGCAGCAGGCCCGGCCAGCTCCACCTGTGCCCACGCGGCACCGTCACACAGCTGCCTGTTCTGCCGCACGACGGCGCCGGTCGCAGTTAAACCATACCTGCCCTCACATCGAGGTCGACATGTGAATGACACTTACAAGAAGAGAGAGAGAGAGAAGAGAGGGGGGCTGAGAAAGAGAAAGAGAGGTGGAGAAGGTCGTGTGTGTGTGTGTCGCGCATCGTGCGTGCGCTGCGTGCGTGCGTGGCCTGTGCGTGCGGTGCGTGTGCTGTGATAGCAGAGAGAGAGATGGTGGACAGGTGGAGAAGGTGTGTGTGTGGCGTCTGCGTGTGCTGGCGTGCGCTGCGTCGTGCGTGCGTGCGTGCGTGCGTGTGCGTGCGGTGAGAGAGAGAGAGAGAGCAGAGGTGGAGAGAACGCAGCGAGAGAGAAGAGAGAGAGAGAGAGGACGAGAGGAGGAGAGAGAGGTGTGACGATGAGAGAGAGAGAGAGGAAGAGAGAGAGAGAGAGAGAGAGAAATAATATAATAAGAGGAATGGGAGAGGTAGAGGAAGGGGAATGAAGAGGGTAGAGAGAAGAGGGAAGGGAGCGAGGTCAGAGAGGTCGGAGAGGGAGGAGAGAGTGAGAGTGAGAGAGGTGAAGAGAGAGAGAGAGCAAGAGAGATATAAAAGGTAGAGAGACCGAGGGGCGAGTGATAAAGACAGATGGGGTCAGAGAGGGTGTCAGAGGGAGAGAGATAAAAAGCAGGACGAGAGAGAGAGGAGAGGGAAGAAGGAGAGATAGGTAATTTCGACTGCGTGTTGGTAAGTGCTCTACGGGCTACACATGTGTACGACCAATCCACCTCCTCATTCCAGCATACTGCTAACCTGTACACAATACCGTTGCTATTGTTAGATATGTGTATATTGCATTATTTCATTTCTATCACGTCTCACTCGAAATCATTTACTGTACCTAACTGTTGTGTAGCCCCGGGCCCAGGTATTATTGTTGTTGTGCTTTTTATGTTTGTGTTGTGTAGTGTTTACAATGCTTGATATGAATTGCATACATTGCACGAGTATTAGGTTTGAATGCATACGATTGTAGTGCATTTCATTGCATGTCGTATTGCATTGCAGCGCTCCCCTACTTATAGTTTAAACAACGATATGGCATAATGAACAACGATATGGGCAGACCTGAAACAATATGATATTGACAAGACGATATGGCATTATTTGAATCAACAATATGGCATATTGTAACAACGCAATTATTGCAATTCGAAATTTATAGGCATTATTGAACAATAATGTATGGCCATATTTAGACAACGAAATGGCATATGAACAACAATATGGCATAATTGAACAACACTGCAATATTGAAACGAACGGAAATTGAATACAACGAAATGGATATCGAACAGCCATATGGCATATTGAACAATTATATATGCATGGCGCATACCTCTACAACAACAACACGATGTTTACGCTGTCATGCTGGAGATGCCTCAGTGTGAGAGATGGAGAGCCGGAGGCGTGCTGCTGCTAGACTGAGGAGCACACCTTCAGCGGACCGATGTACGGAAGTGACAGCTCTATGTCATCGACGGCCATGCCGTCTTAAATGCTGCCTCTATAGAAACACAGCAACACATCGTCAGACGTGACCAGGCAGAGCCAGGTTGTTCTTAATAAGTTAAATAATAATTAATAATAGTTAATGAGTTAATATAAAGTGTATAAGTTAAATTACACAAATTATTATCTTGACTTTCAGATCTGTCACGGGTCACACGGATTATACATGAATTTCATATTAAATTTCAAATTTATTTTTTTAATATAAAATTCATGATCAATTTATGAGATCTGTGGTAAGAAAAAAATAGCTTCATTTTACCATGATCTCAGGTAGCCACTAAAGGTGAGCGAATAAAAGGGCGAAGAGGTGAACCCTAAAAAACCTCAAAACGTGCAGCATACATCATGACTGATAATTAAAACATCTCGTCAGTGCGAGAAAGAGATGTACTCGGTGGACAATTAGACCGTGTCAATGATGACGAAGACTCACCGTAGATGGCGTAGGCGTCGCCGGCAAAGTATGCGCCTGTCTCGACGTTGGTGTAGCAGTGCGTGACACCCTGACTCGTCGTGTTCACACCAGCAAGGTTGATCGGATCCGAGTTAAAGCGGAAGTTCTTAACACAGCCCTGGAAGCCCTGCTTAACCTGAGAGAGAGAGAGAGAGAAAGCAGTGAAATTTTTTTAAGGTATGATGACATTCCCGGAATGCTCTACGCTGAGAGAGAAAGAAAGAGGATCGAGGAAAGAGCCGAAGAGAGAAGAGAGAGAGAGCGCGAGAGAGCGACAGTAGAGAGAGAGCAGACAGAGAGAGACAGAGAGGAGAGAGAGAGAGGAGAGAAGGAGAGAGAGAGAAAGAGAGAGGAGAGAAAGAGAGAGAGAGAAGAGAGAGAGAGAGAGTAGAGAGAGAGAGAGAGAAGAGAAGAGAGAGAGGGAGAGACAGAGCACGAGAGAGAGAGAGAGAGAAGAGAGAGAGAGAGAGCAGAGAAGAGAGAAGTAGAGAGAAGAGAGAGAGACGAGAGAGAGAGAGAGAGAGGAGAGAGAGGAGAGACAGGAGAGAGAAAGAGAGAGAGAGAAAGAGAGAGAGAGAGAAGAAGAAAGAGAGAGAGATAGAGAGAGAGAGAAGAGAGAGAGAGCAGAGAGATAGAGAGAGAGGAGAGAGAGAGAGAAGAGAGAAGAGAGAGAGAAGGAGCAGACGAGAGAGAGAGAGAGAGAGAAAGAGACAGAGAAGAGAGAGAAGCAGAGAGAGAGAGAGAGCAGAGATGAGAGAGAGAGAGAGAGAGAGAGCGCGCGAGCGAGCGAGACAGACAGAGATACAGATAGAGAGAGAGGGAGAGAAGAGTAAGAGTGTGAGAGAGGGGGGTGACAAAAGGTAGTTTAATGCTGGAGCTAGTACGTGTTGCTGCTTGACACACACGAACTGGCGAACAAGAGACAGCAATATCAATCCGAGCTGACCTAACAATAATTACTAGTTTATAGAATGTGTGCACGCGCGTAGGGAGTAGTCCATACTATTACACTACACTCACCACTCCGACAGTATTGGTGATGTTTGCCGGCAGGCCTCCGACGTAGATCATAGGCTTCACATTCAGCTTCCGCTTCACCTTGCTCGCCTGCTCTCCTCTCTCATCCACTGACATCTTCAGCTTTGACTTCCGTTTGTGGATTGTCACCTATATGTAGAATGTACATGGGAATTATTCACATGTATAGAATGAAACGGAAATGAAATGAAAATTCCCGCTGAAATAACAGGTTATGTGGATTAATTTCCCCATCCCCACGCCGAACACAACTTAATTATTAATGCTCATTAACATCACTTAAGTATACATCCTAGTGTATATAACAGCTTTACCACTGATTACAATTCATTACCCATCTGAAACAAGAATGCATGTCACAGAAGCCCACATACGTCTACAGGAAAGAAATGCATGCCAAGAAAATCGTCCAACTGTTCAAATGCGTATCACGTACAGCCATAGATAAGGCAGGACCGATCACGTTCAGCCAGCCCTACAAGGCATATATATATATAGAAGTGATTCCTCAGTTCTGCAATGGTCCTTATATATATCGCATGCAGCCAGCGAAGATATATTGCTGCATTGTATATTGCTGTTGTATATTGCTGTATACAGCATATAGCTTTGATTGCTCCGAGTGGCTGCTATATACAGGTTAGAGTGTACTCACGTTGTGCCACTGCCCGTCGTTGAGTCCGCCCGTGCCTGACTTCAGCTCCTGTACATTGTTGTAGTTGAGCGACAGCACGAACCTGCCCTCGGCAAGCTGGCCCGCGACGTGCTGCGTGTCGCCATGGTTACCGATGTAGACCAGCATGCCGTTCGGCTCGTACGTTCGGAAGTGGAAGCGCATGATGAAGCTGTTAAGGTGCAGGGAGAAGGTAAAGGTAAAGGTAAGGTAAGGTGAAGGTGAGGGAGGTTAAGGTGCAGGGAGAAGGTAAAGGTGAAGGTAAGGTAAGGTTGCACCTTAACCTCCCTCACCTTCACCTTACCTTCACCTTTACCTTCTCCCTTTACCTTCTCCCTGCACCTTAACCTCCCTCACCTTCACCTTACCTTGGTGAAGGTAAGGT